TCTTGCAGCCCACAGCCTCTCCACTGAGTTTTGGGCAGCTCCTGTCCTCCCAGCAAGGCTTCAGGGCTGTCCCTGTTGTTTTCTTCTCTGGTCCATCTTGAGCTCCCTTTGTTGGGCAAACACTCAGGCAAACCTGGCTGCAAGCAATCAGTGGGGCTGGAGGTATCACTGGCCTGTTTCTAGGACAAACATGCTTTTGGGAGAGAAGTGAGGAGCGTGCCAGAGCAGCCAGATGGACTCACAACACAGACCTGCAGGCAGCAGGCTGAGGGGCAACCACCCTGTGGCCCATGTGGGACCCCCAGCCCAAGCAAGTCAAGTGAGAGCAATAAATTTGCTCTCATGGGCTAGAATGGGGCAACTGGTGCAGGGTCTGGGGCAGAACCAAGCCAAAGACACCCAGGCAGGTGGGGTGCAGATCTCACCAGTGTGAGCAGAAAGTGAGTGGTATCCAGAGGCTGATCCACTAAACTGCTAGAATGAGCATGTCTGAATTGAAGGAGGAAGGAGAGACGCATCTCCATTAAATTTTAATGCTCAGCCCTGACCTATGTTCAGCGAGATATTGCTGGGATTGCTCCCTGTCATGATGTAAAATACCAACACCACGCCTTGGAGATGGAGTGGGGACTTAGCCAGAACCCAGAACTGCCCTGGAGCAAAGTAGAGAAATAAATAAAAGAAATTAAATCCCAGATGGACAAAAAAAAAAAAAAAAAAAAAAAAAGAAGATAACATGCCTGGACTGGGTGGGAGAGGCTACTGCTGCCAGACACAACCCATCAGGACAGGAGCCCAGTGCCATCCTATCCTTTTCCCACGGCTTCCTCACCCTCTCCAAGTGGAGGGAGCTTTCAGATCAAAACAAGAACATTTACTTACACACAAATATTCCCTTCTCTGGTTTCATGTCTGGGTTAAACCTCTAGCACAGGGGCAATAATGATGTGCATGAATAAGCTTTTAAACTCCCACCCATGTCTGGTCAGCACCCACAAATCCAAGCCCCTGAAAGAGCCCCTCTTCCATGGAGAAGGTAGAAGAGGAGCTCCAGGGTGCCACTGAGGGTGGCACAGTAAATTGATACAAAGTTAATAAAGTTATTGACTCCAAAATAACTAAATCTTGCACAGGGCCCCCGCAGGGACATGCTCACTGCATGGGCACACACACTGGTTCATGAGAAATTAAATTACAAGCTGCTGTAGCTGCACCTCTGTCCTGCTGGGGATGGGACAAGGAGGGGTTTTGGCTGAAGCATCAGCTTCAGAAAGGGTTAATGGCACATGAGATATGTTTAGTGGGATTTGGTATTTTTTTAACTTCAACAAACAAAGCATATGAGAAAATCCAGTTCACAGCTGAGCCCTGGCTGCCTGCCCACTAGGGCAGGGAAAATGCTGATGGTTTGAAATACCCACGTGCTGGCCTTTCTCATGTAGCCTGTGGCCCAGGGTCCCTGGCTGGTCTCCCCCCACTGTACTTGGGACACTCAAGGCGGCAGCAGGGCAAACTGCAGTGTAAAGGCAGCACTGACACAGGAGCAAATCTACTTTCCTTGAGCATGGCTGGCTTCCTCAGACACGCAGAGGAGCCAGGATCCTGTGAGGCTCTGCTTGTTCAAAAATCATAATTAGCTCTCAAAGTAAATAGGTGTTAACAGAAACAAAGAGCTTTGCCACAGTCTGCGTAAACACTTCAGAATCAATTTAATTTCCCTTCTCCTGGCAGATGTAATCGTGCTGCTCTGCAATTATTTTAGGTCGGGGCAGGGAACAAAGCCACCGGGGCAGCTTTGCTGAGCAGCTGCTCCTTGGGACAGCCGGCAGGACCCTCTGCTTCACTGACATCCAGGCCCCCGAGGCTGAAACGAGCTTCCTTCCGCTGAACCAGATGTATAATGCAGCTGGAGATCAGCAAACCAGCAGTGAGCCATAGCATGACATTAAACCGCCCTAAAGTCCAGCCTCCTTAATCCTGAGAGTCCCCCTGTCTAGACAGAACATGAAGGACTAATGCGAAAACCAAGTGACAGAAAATTTACACTCTCCCGTTGAGCTGCAAACGGAAAGAAGCATCAAAGGGTGCAAATCTGTTTGCCTTTTAATTGTTTTGTCTTTTGGGAGTGTGGGTAGCACCTAAGCACGGTCCCCCACTGGTGCAGAGGGTTTGCCTCACTGCAACTCCAGGTTGCTCATTTGCTTACTAAATCATGCTAAAAGGCTTTCTTACCCTGCCTTTTCCCTACCATCATGGGGAGCTGGTTCAACAGGCTTTTACTCAAACTGCCCCAAAAGCTAATGTCCTCCACCTCTACTGGGTTATAAGCAAACTAGTCACGGGTGACTGGGGCTCAGCTGATGTGGGTTGTCCCTTCGAGAAGGCAGCAACTCAGCATATGATGGCAACTGCAGTCAATGTGTTTGCTGGTGATGGAGTGTTCTCCTGGCTGGGATGTGAGAACAGCCCAGATGGGAACAGCCTGGCTGTGGGGCCAGACCCAGCAAGGCTTTTGGGCCTGTATAAAGCAGTCACACACCCAGGAACAAGTACAACCAGAAAAATGTGCACAGTGGCTTCCCTGGGAGTTCCTGATCTTGTTCCACCGCACTGCCTCTCTGCTGGGAGAAGCAGATTTAGTTAATTAATTGCTACAATTAGCATGGAGCTATTCCTGCTCATGATGGTTACCTTTTCCTCCCCCTTTTTGGTTCATTCAATTACCAACTCATTCATTCTCCAAGGCAGAGGCCACAACAAGGCACAGAGAAGCTTGAGGATGAGGGGAGGAAGGTCCAAGAACAAAATGCCAAGTGTCCCAAGCTCTGTTTCTACCCAGGAACTGTCCTGATCTCGCACAAACTCTTGCTCCTCTCTCATCCATCCACCCTTGACTTCAAGAAGGTGATGAAGAGGGAGCACAGCACAGCAGAATTACAAACATTGCTACGACTCTTTCATTACTCCCTCCAACTGACACCCCACGAAGGATGCACCCCATGATGAGCTTATATACACCAAAATGGACAAGACTTCCGACACCCATCATGCTCCAATGACCCCTCAACTTCTTCACCCAGCCTCAGGCCATGGACTCTTCAAATGAACATTACCCACTTTGGGAAATTGATGATTTATTTGCCATTACTAAGCAGGGATGGTGAAGGAAAGGTGAGCATGGGGTCACTGCTTCGGCAAGGACTGAAATGAAGCGCCAGCACTGAATAATTCATGTTCAATCTCTGCTGCAGCATCTGGACACATCTGCTGCATCCGCCATTGCAGGCTTTTTCTTGGCTTACTCAGAAAATCAAACTTTGGCAGCTGGGTACTGTTTCAAGTGGGTACTTTCCCTACAGCACTAATGAGCTGTGATTCTGTTACAAATAGGGATTTTTGTTCCTCTTTTGCTGATGTCACTCCACGATCCTGCAGGGAATAGTGCTTGGATCTCTGCAGCCTGATGATCCCTGTGTGCCCTTTGGGACAGATGTACTTGCAAGCGGGAGATTGTTTTTCCTTTTGCTGCCCAGATTTATATTTCACTGAAGTCCCGTATCGATCCTGCTGCTGCTGGGCTGAAAGCTCATTTTACTAAATGAGAAGAAAAACAGTTCCCCCAGCTGAACGCACGCAAAATGGAAAATCCTGCAACGAAACAGCTCTTAAAAAAGGGGCCTGAACAATTTTGCTGAACCTCGAGGGCCGCACCGCTGACATTGGAACGGTATGTGATTTATTTAGCCTGACCTTTCCCTGAAAGACGCGGCTGGCGACGTTATCAAGGATCCTTTCTGCCACTTGTGCACCCATTGCCAAGGTGACATCCTGCCTCATGCGTCAGTCAGCGAAGATTGCATCCGCGCTGCTGCGGTGCTTTGTTTGCTGTCCTGCCTGACAAGCTCTTGGCAGGGTTTCAACTCCTGCGGATGGCAGCTGCTCCACGAGGGACCAAAACAGATTCAAGCTGGACGTTGTTACGGGGAGTTTCATGCAGACAGAGCACAGGCCTGCAGTCCCCTGGATGAGACATGCAAAGGTACCCAGAGATGCTACCACGGATAATGGGATGGGCAGGTGACTACAAAGCTGCACGCCACGCTCACTTCCCCAACCCATCTCACTCAGGTTTTATGTGTGTCCTTGTGGTGCTGGGAAAGCAGAGGCAGCTCACCGGTGCTTAATGAAGAGTCTTTCCCAAGTGCAATCGAGTTTGGATGGTGGAGCACAACTCAAACAACAGGTCCCCTCACCGCACATAAACTACCTGGAGGTTTCCTTCCTCCCTCCCAGTGCTTTCCCTGAGGGTTCCAGTAAAGAGATGGGGATGCAGGTGCAGAGAGTATGTCTGTCCTCCACATGACAGCCTGCCAGCAGGGAAAACTGCAGTGGAGAGGAAAATGGTTCCAGTAAAGCTTCTCCCCCTACTCCATCAAGAGATTGAAATGTCTGAACAAAGGGGATTTTCACTGCTGGTTCCCACCACTCTCAAGGGGATTTTGGTGATGGATAGGGACAAAGGCTGCAGCTAAAAAAGTCCTCAAACACCACTAACTTCTTGTAAGAGACTGAAAGGTCTACAGTTACGGAGGATAAAAATGACTGGCTCTCACAATACCCTAGAAAGCTCTTTAGATGTCAAAGGCAGGAAAGCCTCATGAAAGTTTCCCACATATCCATCCATTTCCCACTTCAGCCCCCCCAGCCTTGTTTCCCACATGTCCATCCATTTCCCACTTCAGCCCCCCCAGCCTTGTTTCCCACATGTCCATCCATTTCCCACTTCAGCCCCTCCAGCCTTGTTTCCCACATGTCCATCCATTTCCCACTTCAGCCCCCCCAGCCTTGTTTCCCACATGTCCATCCATTTCCCACTTCAGCCCCCCCACCCTTGGCAGGCTGCACCCCACTCCTACAGGTCTGATCTGAAGGAGGCCTGGGGCCCATTGGGAGGACAGGAGAGAAGATGCTCTTAGCAATGGACCTGTCTCTCACGGTACCTGTGTTCTCCTCAGACTGGTTGAAGCCACAGATCTGGCAGATGCTGCGGACCCATTTGTTCATGTCGTCCTCGGTCTCAGCCACCAGGTAGAAGGTCCTGTCACTCGTCTTGATGTCGAAGATGTAGCTGTCTTGCAGCTCCTTCTTGTTGAAGGTGAGGCCTGCGTCCACTTGCTCGCAGAAATTGAGGTTGATGACACGCAAAGGTTTCTTGGAGTGGTCATTTTTGTAGTACTCCAGGACATCGGGGTCGCCACTCATCCGACCGCTGCGCAGGACGAACCAGCGTTTCTTCCATGCCTGAAACCAAGACAACAACAAGCATGAACGCCACTGCTGCATCTGTGAGAGCAAAAATCCACTGCTAGGCACAGGGTGACACAGAGGGACACGACACTTCTCCACCATGGGGTGCTCTGGGAAGCTGCTCAGGCATACCTGCAAGAGGTGCATAGACTCAGCTCAGTTCTTCAGTTCGATACTGAAATCCAGGAGAACTAAATACCAAAATGGCATCATAGCATAAGATGACCCCAAAAGGTGCCAGTCTTGAGGCTCAGAGGAACCTTGCTCCTACCCTACAGCCCAGACATGCTTCCAGGACCCAAATGCCCTTCTCTCCGTGATCTGTGCAGTGGCATTACTGGGTGTTGTCAAAATGCCTTCCAGCAGCTCAGAGGAACTGAGGCACTTCAGATGCAGCATCCTGGGTGTCCTAACCTTCAGAGAAATCCCTGGGAGCATCATAGGATGTGTCTGCAGATACTGACCATGCCAATCTCTGTTTAAATGCCAGAATAGAAAGACTAATAAAACCAAAGGACAACTGGTTTGTTTTTTTAAATATCACGAATAATGCCAGGGAGATCCATGGAGAATCCCAGCTTCATTTGTTTTTCAGCATCCTCTGCTCCCTGGCATGTAGGCAACTCCCTAGCAAAGGAAAAGGTTATCATTGATTCTTCCAAGCACTGCTGACAGCAGCTCTTGGCCAAACTACCTGCGGAATGGACTCAGGGGGTTGTGGAGCTTGAAGCAAACCAGCAAAACAAATGTCAGCCATCAGCTCTGGCCCTGAGAGCTGTGGCCCTGCTGCCTTCCCCATGCCAGACACATCTGGGAGCCCACAGGAGGGGGAATAGCCACAAGGATAACATGTTAAAGGCTACAACTGAAATTACAGGGAAAATGGTGCAGGTGCAACCCCCCATCCCATGAGGTGAGCAGACTGTTTCTTTGGGGTGTGCTCTGTGTGACGATCATGGCACCTGTGGGAGGGATGAACAGGGTTGAGGGACCACCTCGAGCTGCCCCCCTTTGCAGAGCTAGGCTCCCTTGCAGAGGCCTCAGCTCCCATGGCATAGGGAAGGGAAGGATTACCTCTAAGCAAAGTCCTTAAACCAGCTTGTTCAGGGTGTCTTTGAAGTCAGCAAAAGGAGAGGTGCATGTGGATAAGCATGATGTGAATTGTGACCAGTGCTCCCGCATTACCTGGCACAGACTTCAGTTTGTAGCAGAGGATGTCAAGGGAGATGTGATCCCCACCATCCTGTTCTGGCTCTGGCAGTGGGGCTTTTTGTATACGATTTACCCTATTTATATTTTTATATATAACCAGCTTTGGAGTTCTGATGATTATAAGAGGTCTGGTTATGAGGAAGCACACGATATTTCTAAGAAGGAAGAACAAACACCTACAGTAACCCAGGAGAGGCACCGAGGCAAGCAGTGTGCTGGGTCCCTCATGAGAATGCCCAGGTGCTGAGCACAAGCTTTACATATTGGTGATGGGCACGTGCTAGATCTCAGCCAGCCAACTGCACCAGGATCCCACAGTTTTGGAGAATTTCATCACTGAAATAATGGTAAGAAGCTCCTGTGGTGTTTTCCCTGAACAGTCTGATTCAGACCATACTTCTCAAAAGCTTAAAAATAGCTTTTGTTGATGTCTTTGAGATTTGTAATCAAATTAGTTTTGCACTAATTCTCAAAACGGCTCCTGGTGCCAGGAAAGCAACTTCAGTGCAATCTTCCAAAGGCAGTGAAGCAGCAAATTGCTTAGCAAGAGGACGTGCAAGGCTAGCAGATTTTGGCTTAATCTCACCCACTTCTCATCAAAATGGCTGCTTTTGAGTGACAAAATAGATACAGTGGAGCTGTGTCCATCAGGGAGGGAAAAACCAATTTCATCAGGCAGCAGCAATAATTTACTAGCCCATCTCCTCAAAATGGATCACCCAAATCACTGGGAAACAAACCTATGAACATTTTTTTCCTAGTTCTAGGTGGTAAATGCCCCATTAGCTTCTTCCTGTTAACACCAAGTCATTTCTTTGCAGCCACCTGGCAGGACTAAGACATGGGCATGCATCAGTGAAGGGACTGCAAGAAGATGGAGTTGTGCAACCACAGAAACCAGCACCTGAATGCAGACATCCAGCACCAGTTCTTGCTGCTTAGCTTGTTGCTTTCCAACCATCTAGAGTCCAGTCTTGCAGCCTCCCTTCATGGCTGAGACATTGCATTACAAAACCCACAAAGTGCAGAAACCAGACTTGAGAATTTAGAGTTTTCATGGAAAAAACAGGAGGGAATGCTGCAAGCAAGACGAATGATGCTACCACGACCCCTCTTTTTACCACCAGTGTGAGAACCACAACTCCTCCAGTTCTCTTTGGCCTGTCTGGTAGCAATGAAAAGTACCACCCAGTCAGGATCTGGCAGAGAAAAGAGTGTAACACGCACAGTCTGGTTGCTTTGTGTAAGTTTTAACATAGGCTGGCTGCAAAAGGATGGGTCTTACAGGCACAACATGTCCTGGAAAGCTTCAGGAGGTGGAGCACCATTGGAGAGTGTGAGCACTGGACAGGGCAGGAGTCCCACAGGCTTGGGAAGACCACCCTGTCCATGTCTGTGTGGTGCCCTCCTGATGACAAGGAGTCACTGGTGTTCTTGCAATACAGCTTCTGACTCAGCAAAAGAACTCATGGCAGCAGCCTAAGGAACGTCTGTCCTGGACAGGTGGCTGCAGGCAGCACAGCTGGAGGCATCTCCCACCACACTCCCCTGCAGCAGCACCAGCTGTTCCTGCCTCCTAGGATCAGCTTCCAAGCCAGAGGAATAAGCAATGATTGCTAGAAGTGAGTGGAAGTAAACAGTCAAGAAATAGACAGGAATCTACTTATTCTTGTGGACATTTTCTCTGAATTTTTGAGTGCTGGGCTCAGCAAGTGTATTTTATTTCTTCCCTGTGGATTTGCTGTGCCTTTATGGGGGACCAGGGCTCACCTTGTGTTTGCCAGGCTGTGGCTGCTCTTGGGGCATCTCTGCTGGCACCAATGCAGCTTGCTTCAACATGTCACTATATGCAGCATGTGGCTTATCCTCCTGGGACACCTATTTCCCCAGTCAAAACTACCAATATCATCCAAACCTTCTACATTTAGGCTTCCCTAGCATATCACCTTCCTGCAAGAGAGTGATTTAAGCAACTACTGACCAGCAGCTATGACAGTGGTAAGATGTATGGGATCCAAACGTGTGTGGCAATCTTATCTGATGCCAAACCAAGGGAGGATGCAACTCCATGTGAACCTACACACTCTTTTCCATGACCACCTTCTCCCAGCATGAGGCTGAGATGGCACACAGGCATCTCATCCTCCACCTGAATTTTCCTCCTCTGCTTATTTCTACCTCATCACAGCTCTTCTGGAGTCCCTGTTGCCATCAGTCTGCTCCTGCCAAAACACTGTGCCTCCCTGACACGTGTTGTGAGCCAAGGGCTGTGTTTGTTTAACAGCTTTACAATGTTGAGAGGCCAACAGCTTAACAGCCATAAAACGCTGCTTTGCAGCACAAATTTCCAGCTGTGCAGTCCTTTGCTGGCATCAGGTTCCTTCACGGTTAAATTACAGCTGCCAAAGGCCCTTAATGTCACTGAGAAATATTTTGACACTTGGCAAGTACTTCTTTGTTAAGAAAAAGTGCCCACCATGCTCCTATTGCCATGTGAATCCTCCCTGGGCACTGAGAACCATGGCTGCTGCTCAGATTTTTTCCACCTCACTTTAATTTTGCAGTGGCAAAGTTAAAGTTCACAAAACGGAGCAATTCCAGCTGGATGCTACCTGGAGCTGGCTGTTTTATGGGGAGCTGGGTTGGCAGAGGTGAGGCAGCGCTGCTGGGTTCACTGGCTGAGTGCACTTAGCAAGGATGTTCAGGCAGTGGTTGGGACCCTTCCTGTTCCATCTGCTGGGTGAGGAACCAGAAGAGCCAAACCAAACAAGGTGGCTGCTCTCGAGCAACTGAGATATCACTGTGTGTGGCAGGAGATACCATCCCACTGCTCCAGGAGCGAGGTCCCTCGTGTCCCCCATGGCTGTCCTGATGGTGCAATGCAGTCACAGAGCTGGTGGCATCAGAGAATCTGGGGCCTCCAAGAGCCTAATAATCCAAGTGTTTTGACTGACAGCCCAGAGAGAGGCTTTATTAACTATGGTTATAGTGAGGGACATTCAGACAGCATCTTCCTCTCTGCTCCCCTGTTCTCTGCAAAGTGAACACAGAGATCCAGCCCATAATCTGCCTCAGAAAAAAATAAAAGGGGTGAGGAAAATAATAATTTAAATATCAGTAAAGCCAGTTATCCATTCCAGGGGAACTTGCCAAGAGCCACAATTGTGAGAAGGAAGCAAATAGAGACAACATGGAGAGATGGCTCTTGGTGGGGCCTGTAGGAGTGGCCCATCCAGTATTATCTTAGCTTCGAAGTGAGGAGCTTGAAACAGTCAGAGACTGTTAGCTTTGGGTTGAAAGGGATGTTCTTTCAATTAGGATCAACTTCTGAGCCACATCTCTCTAATCTGAAACACTAATATTTTTACCACCACACTCTTACAGCACATGTAGGGAGAGAAGAGAAGAGAAGAGAAGAGAAGAGAAGAGAAGAGAAGAGAAGAGAAGAGAAGAGAAGAGAAGAGAAGAGAAGAGAAGAGAAGAGAGAACTACCTGTATATTTCCCAGGAAATCTCTCTATCCTATTCCTTCTCCCCCTGACAACAACTTCATGCCCACCAGCACTGCACACCAGCAGTGTGAAATAAACCTTCCAAAATCTGACTTGACACAAATCACAGCATCTAATCCAAGCTGGCAGGCAGGATGAGTGACCTAGCCATGACATCAGGCAAGTTTCTCACACCAAGATGAACCTGGGGACTGTGTGATTCAAGCAGGAAACCCCACAGCAGGGCAAGCAGGTGCTTGTGTCCCAGATTTGCCCAGAACCAGAGAGGCCC